GTGGTAGGGGTTGTATGCCACTGGGCGAGACTCTGTGACCGAGGAAATCGATGGCCGAGGTTCCAAAGACGCACTTAGCAGGATGAACTTTCATGTTGTTGTTCTGCAGGCGTTGGAGAAGGAGTTGTAGGTGGTGGTGGTGCTCGGCAGGCGTCGAAGATGCAACGAGGATGTCGTCAATGTAGACAGTGACAAAGTCGAGGTCGCGAAGCATATGGTCCATGTACCTCTGGAAAGTCTGTGCTGCATTGCGTAAGCCAAAACTCATGAAAGTGTACTCAAAGAGTCCAAACGGGGTGGTGATGGCTGTCTTCTGGGTATCTGCCGGTGCTACTGGGATCTGGTGGAAGGCACGCTCCAAGTCGATCTTCGAGAAGATAGTCTTGCCATGAAGTTTGTGGTGAAAGTCCTGGACATGCGGAATAGGGTACCTGTCAGGTTTGGTGACGAAATTCAGGGCTCTGTAGTCGCCACACACCCTCCACTCGCCGGGCGTTTGCTTAGGAACCATGTGAAGAGGCGATGCCCAGGGACTCCTTGAAGGGCGAATGATGCCATCTTGCAGTAGTTTGTTGAATTCTACTTTGGCTGTGCACAGGAGCTCAGGGCGCAGGCGGCGAGGGCGTGAAAAGACTGGTGGTCCTTTGGTTTCGATGTGGTGGAAAATTCCCGACGTAGGTGGTGGGGGTAGGGAGACTCGGGGTGAGAAAAGCTCCTTGAATTCGTTGAGTAGGGAGGAGAACTCGTTGGAAGGCGCAAGACAGGTGATAGTGTCGGTGTGTCTGGCACGAGAACCCTGGATCTTGCGTGCTGTAGGCTCATGGATGAGGCATAGATGACTTGGTTTGACGCCGAGCTTGTGGAAGGTGAGGAAGTCGAAACCAAGGATGGGTTGAGACACGTCTGCTATCACGAATAACCAACTCAGAGTCTTGGGCAGGCCGAGGTCTAAAGCGAGGGTGAGTACGCCGTAGGAGGCGATGGGGGTACCGTTGGCAGCGAACAGGTCATAAGAAGGTTGCTTTGACTTGTCTTGTAGTGAGGGAGGGATGAGGCTTACCGATGAACCTGTGTCGATGAGGAACTTCTTGCCAGAGGTGCGGTCGGTGACGTACAGTAATGAGACGCCTGAAGGGACGGGGGCTGAGGCGTCTACCAGCCTCCGGTGTTGCCGTTTCCCGAATAGGTGCAATAGGGCTCACAGTTTCGAGCATTGCGGCCGAAAGTCTGGTGATACCAGCAGAGGGTATGGTTGTTGTGCTGGGGGCTGGCTGCTGTGTGTCGGAAGTTGTAGGGTGTGATGCGTGAGTCAGGAACTGGCACAGCAGCGGGTAAGGAGGAGCAGAACTGCTCAATGGTGTCCATCCTGCGGTTCAAGGTTTGTAACAGGTCCTTGATATCTTGTGAGGTATTGCTCGGCTGAGGTGTGTTGACCCGGCTTGCAAGTTCGGTGGGAGGTACTGGTGTGACCGAGGCAGCAAGGGGTGCAGAAGTGCACTGGTTGAAAATTCTGTCTGCCGCAGTTGCATATAGCTCAGGTGTCGTAGAGTAATCTACTGCGGACAGGATGTTGCTTACTTCTGTGGGTAGCTTTTGTGCGTGAAGCTGGCGCAGGATAGAGTCAGGAAGTCTGTCTGTGTACCGGGAGTTCACCCTGCACATCTCTTCCCAGAGATGTCCCGGAGTTGAGTTTCCCAGGGAGATGGAAGATAGGTTCTGCAGGATATCGGAGCGGGTCCGTTGGTAATGTGTTCTTAAGGCATTCCGCAGAGTGGCGAATTTGTTGTTCTCTGGAGGGTTGGAGATGATCTGTGAGACTTGTGTGGCGACTTCAGTGGGCAAGGAGCAGAGCAGGGCGCCGTACTTCTGCTCGTCTGTAGCTGTAGAGCCGATGAGAGCTGCTTCGACATGAACTAACCAGTCCTCTACGTTGTGGTTGAAGGTTGGTAGAGAGATCCGTCCGTCCATTCTTGCGGGAGAATATCGCACCTGTTAGGGAAGGATGAGGGATGGGTGCTTGTTCCGACCCCCTTCCGTCTTCACAATCTCCTGGGAGGGAGGTGAACACTTACGGGGGGGACCTCGGGACGAATACACTTTTTTAGGGTGCAGGTCCTTTGGCCAGAACTAAAAAAACAAAAGAAAAATAGGAGAATAGGCAAAAGAGCTCAAACCACGCTTGGAATATCGCACAATAGTTGCTCTCCAACTGTGATGTGGGTCACTCACAACGCCAGTGGGGAGAACAGACTAATGCGTTATAAACCTTACGATCGTGAGATGGTGTCGTTGTGGAGTAGTGGGTGGTGCAGGGAGGCGGTTGGCCTAGGCTGGCAGCAGGCAGGACGATCTTCTCAGCTCAAGTAGTAAGGCAGCAGAAAGGAGTGTGGTGTTCACGGCTCCGGGGGTCACCAATGTAGTGTACTGTTTGTGGCCAGTTGTCAATTCTCTTTAGTTGTCTATTATCTCTTTGTATGGGCACACAAACGTACGTACATGTAGATACCTTCACTCAGGAATGAGGTTGGATAGAAACTCACGATGTGCTTCCTGTATATATTGTTGTACAGTGCAGTACTTAGGAGTGACTAGGTGAGGAGCTGAGAGAGATGTTGCTGGTCCAGTAGCTGAGTGTAGGATGATCTCCCTGGGCAGGCGTAGCCGTATTTATACAATTTACCAGGATCAGGATCTGGGCTGCGCGTAGCGAGCGGACCAATCACAGCGGCTCAAGCGTAAGGTGTGAAACGCTCTGATCCTGAACTGGAGGTTGATGGTCGAGACTAGGTCGGCGATCGTACCCCTACGTCCTCTGCATAGACCTAGTCTCTCGGCGTAGCTGGCTGTACGCTGATTGGCTGGTCGGAGTGCGGCCGGAGCTCAGTTGGGAGTTGTAGGGGAGAGTAGCCACTACACGCTCCTGACTTTAGAATATGCAGACGACTGTGATATACAGATTCACTGGTGTGACAAAATATTTATCCCTAGTGAATGCAAAACGATGCCAGACATTATACAAGCCATAACGAAACAAGAACTAAAATGGACCTACTCTAACGAAAAATACTCTGAAGCACTAGTGGAAGTTTACCTGATAAACCAAAGAATTAAAATAAGGAGACACAACTTCAAAAAAGAAGAACAATGGAAATTCCAAAGAATCCGTAACGGACTGGATCCGGACAAGAGATCGCCACCCGCGCAACAAACAAGAAACAAAAAATCAAAACACAATGAATAACGACAAACATAGAAGACTTACGATCATACAACACAAAGTCCGCAACTGGGAAACAAATAAAAACAACCTTGCAAACACATACCTCAGCATTGATCCGGACATAATTTTAATAAATAGTCACGGCAATTCAAATTCCAAGAAAATAAAAATATTTGGATATACAGCCTACCAAAGAAATAAAACAGAAGAACTAAATGATGGCGTGGCCATTGCTGTAAAACACAGACTCAAACATCAAATCATCGACGATTTCCAGGATGAATTCTTGGGAACCAAAATAACTACCACACTTGGAGAAATAGCAATAGCCACAGATATATTTACCGCCAAGAAGGAACTACCTGCCGGCCCCAGACTTGATAAAACTATTGAACTACAACTGCCCAACATATATAATAGGAGGTCTGAACCCAAGACATCCAATATTCGGCCACGGAAACAGGAACAGGGTGGGCACTGCACTACATACCATAATGAACACAGGGAAGCTGATCCACCTAGGACCACACTTTACCACATTCATTGGCAATAACAAAACAACAACCCCAGACAAAGTCTTCACCAATAACAAGACATTCCTGAATTACCATATAAAACAAGGACCACTAACTACCAGTGACCACATTCCAATGATAATAAAACTATCTACAAGCCAATCCAAGTACCAACAACCCCACGTTTCCAAATGCAAAAAGCAGACTGGGAAGGCTACAGGAAGCAACTAGAACAAGTTAAGATCCCAGATCTCCAAGGCAAAATACTAGAAGATATAGACAACGAAACAGATACCCTTATACTTAACATCAAAAAGGCAATAGAGAACAACATACCAATCACAACATATCGAACGCTACCACACATCAGGACATCTCATGAATTGCGAATGCTCCAAGTACAATACAATAACATAATGATGTACATACAAAACTATCCACCAACAACAGAGCTTATTAGAAACTTAAGGCAAATACAACAAAAGTTAAGAGATGAAAGCCTGATAGCACACCAACAGATATGGAACGAACTAATAAACAACCTGGATACCACAAGAAATGACAAGAACTTCTGGCAGAACGTAAACAAAATTCTAAAAACGAAAAACCCCAACAAAAGTACATAAAAGACCAAAACGGGAAAAAACTCTTTGAAGAAAAAGAGATAGAATCCGCATACAGGAGAGAATGGAAAAAAAGTATTTCAAATATCAGAAGAAGAAAATGAGCAATTTGATGAGGAACACGAAAATCACATCTGCAGAGAAGTGGCTGAAATGATACATAGGATAACCCCATACCATTGTGAGGGCGAGTGTTTTCCCAACAACACCTCTCTCATCTTATTTACTTCTCTTATCTTAGTTCTTACTCTTACTCAGTTGTCACCTATTCTTTTGGTTGCATGGACATTCTTTTGGTAGCATGGTCAAGGGTCTAGGCACATGGGCATGGTAATTCTGGTATCAAGTCACTTGGACGGAAATAAAGGTAAAATACTGTGGGAGAAATGAATACACCAAAAGTACTCTAAAAACAAATTTATTAATATGAAATCAAAGGGAAAATATATATATTATTAATCATATAACTACCAGACTTTCGGTCTCCAGTTGATGTGAGTTATAATTTTTGGTGCCATGTTAAGATGTTGCATAGTGTTGTATTGTACCATTGATCAATTCAGGTTGTAGTAGTACAGGAGAGTAGTTGTGTTAAGTGGTTCGTATTTGTCTTTGGTCGAGAGGTAGCATTTTTAGGTCAAAATGGATGAGTCAGTAGAACAGGGAAGTACCATAGTTGGGGACACATTGGCAGAAAGATTGGAACGGGCTGTGCAGATCGTCAAGAGACAATACTCAGAGCTAGAAGAATTACAGAGACAGGTTAAGGAACTAAAACGAGAACTCCAGCATGTAAAGGACCAAGACACTGATCTAGAGTATGGTGTAGGTAAGGACACAACCCCAACTGACCCACAGGCAGAAAGTGCCCACTCTGTACCACAATCAGGGAACGATACCACACACCCAGGTAGCCTTAGAGTTTATCCAGGGGTTCATTCCAAACTAACGGACAGTGCCAAGAGGGATGATAGGGAAGCAGCTGTGTTCAAACTTAGTTATGTTAGAACGTTATCATTGGAAAAACTAACAGGGTCGGATTCTGAGAGCAATATTAGAACTTTTTGTAGACAGGTAGAGTGGTTACTTAAGCAGGATGACCATCGGGTAGAAGCGGCTGAGAAAGTAAAGAGGTATGTAAGTAGAGACATGTTTGTTCAGCTGAATGAGCCCCTTCTTCCACCCTATGATTCTTCCTTGGACTCAGGTTCAGACGAAACAGATGAGGAAAGTGATGACGGAAATGTGGAAGGTCAACCTGCAAGTAGATTCCCTGTGAGGCAGAGGAGACCAGTAGTTAGAATGGATTTGTAGGAAATATAGTTCCAGAATGTTGCTTCAATTGAATATTTTTGGCTTTCCAGTTTGTTAGGTTGATTTGTTGAATTATAAAGTTTTTGGTTGGGGAGACAGTTGCTCAGATGGTTTGTCGGGATGCTTTTTGAAGATCAGCTGTTAGTAGTGGTATCTATATTGTCTGAAAATGTTTTTTTTTTTGGGGTTGTTGACTTCGTCAGTCGTACTGAAATGACCCCAACATTATAAATCCCAGTTCTTACGAACTGAAGTCCGGAAATTTAGTTGCTGCCTATGTTGTCGAAAGGAGAAATCTCAGTTTTATGTGTGTCAGAACGTTTGTGGGTTGTTGACTTCGTCAGTCGTACAGAAGTCACCCCAACATTGTAAATCCCAGTTCTTACGAACTGAAGTCCGGAAATCCAGTTGCTGCCTATGTTGTCGAAAGGAAAAATCTCAGTTTATGTGTGTCGGAAGTTTTTTTTTTGGGTTGTTGACTCACTCCAGGTGAGGGAGTCACCCCGACTTTGAAATCCCAGTTCTTACGAACTGAAGTCCGGAAATCCAGTTGCTGCCTATGTTGTCGAAGGGAGAAATCTCAGTTTTTATGTGTCGGAAGTTTTTTGGGTTGTTGACTCGCTCCGGGTGAGGGAGTCACCCCGACCTTGAAATACCAGTTCTTCTGAACTGTGAGATAGAAAATACGTGTCTTGTGTTATGAGCCCCAATGTGTACGTCTAGAACCACGGTTTTGTGTTGAAAAGGTGAATTATTATTGAAACGAAGTAGTAATCTGAGGAAGTGTCTGATGTAACTAATTCCCCATTCATAGACAAGAATTTAAATTCCTTAGGATATGTAATTTCATGCAGAGAACTTTTGTTGTAGATGTAATGTCAAAGAGTCACTGTTTATGTGCTGGTGCCAAAAGTATGTTGAGGTAATACGCTGATGAACTGTTAGGGGCATGTTCCCTATACTATATTGTACTGAAATAAGAATTGATAAGTTGTTGCATGTATAGGTAACGGAGACTCGAGTATGAAAAGTTTGTCTCCTTATAATTTTCTTTTTAATGATATATTGTGTACCGAAGTAGCAGGATTGTAAACGGTTGTCCGATGTATATGGTAGCGGAGACGCTCGTGGGAAACGTTTAAGTCTCCTTATGTTTTGTTTGATGTATTAAGGTACTGTAATCACGAACTGTTAGGATGTTGTAAAATGTATGTACACTACAGCGTTAGTGCTTTTGCATATTATTCCGCATAATATGAATCTTTGGGAGGGGAAGGCTATGTACTGCTCACATCATTGTCATTCCTAAAAACCCCATTTAATTCATATTACGCTATATAACATTCAAATCCACCGCGCTTGTAGAATCTCAGAAAACGGGAAACATTGTTAAAGGATAACTCACCTACTCAATGTTACTAGACCATGTGTTGTATTGTACCCAGGTACAGTTATATAATGTTAATTGTATGTATTCATAGCATTAAGGAGAACTCAGGGTATCCATAAGATGAATGTTAAAGTCCAGTTGAGCCGGACTAGTGTACTGTAGGACTAAGTGTGGATCAGGGTTTGAAGGTCATACTATTTACGTCTGTGAACGTGTAGCGAACATAACTTCCACAGATATCATATGAAAATACATGAGAACAATGATCTGGAAAAAGGATAAAGGTATCAGAACTATGTGAAGTGTTGGAAGTGATCTAGAAACTATGCTTCAAAAAGAATATCTTGTATACCCACGCCATGAAAATACGATGCTAGGCTTTGTTTGGGTTGGCGCCTAGGCCGCCCCGGGTGTGCCGCGTTGACATTATAACCCAATGAATTTACCCAGGAACTAGCAAACCAGACCCTTACCTTAGTGTGTAATTTAGGATTAAGGTATGTATTTATAAAGCATGAGGTCACAATAGATAGGAAAATGGAGATGTGAGAACCATAGGAATCCAAAGTGAAAATTGAAGATTGGAAACTGTAGGCCTAAACAGAGAGGAGGGTGGGAGTCGGGACTTCACCCTCAGTGATGCCTCGAGTTCTCCCAACACAGGTCCGTGTCCTTTATCATGCTTTATTCAGCCCTAAAAAGGACTTATCTAGCAGTTTTTACATCTTAAAACCTTGCCTGATGTCATAAAGTGAAGTCATAGTGTACTAATGTGTGGTGACGAAAGCCCCTCCGGCAGTATTCTTAGTGATGCCTCGACTTCTCCCAACACAGGACGACGCATTCTGAGCGCCTACCGGGCGTCAGCCATGACCACACTGTGAAGGCCACACCACAGTGGTCATGCACTTCCACTGTGAACCTGTGGATCCCCAGCACACCACCCCAAATGAGTAGAACAAATAAGGAAACGCTTGAGAAACTCCGCGGTTGTCACTTGGAGCGACCTATAATACCAGGCGTAGAAATAGTACTGGTATGTCTCTTGGTGTAGCCCTCGTCTCTACCCACCGAGGGCGGTGTGCGAACGAGGTGCCTGTTAGGTATACCTAGAAATTACAAGGAGTCCCATACCTGCAGGTGTGGAGGGTAACGGGTGTGTTGAGAAGGTGCTACTATGTATGATGACCTAAGGTGCTATATTCCATACAGGTGGAGCAGTCCGAAGTGTCAAATGATATTGTAAGCAGGGTAACCAAACTCATCGTTGTTCTTCTGAGGAAGGCCAGCTCAACTGTATTTTTTTTTGTTACCATATAGTTTATAAAGAGTAAATTAGTTAAAACATGTTATGGTTTCACCCTTCTTTCCCCTTATCGATCTGGTCAATGACAAACCTAACCCAATGCCTAGTCCACTCTGCACGCTACCTAACGAGTTACATACTGTCCAGAGGGGGTCTGGTGGCAGTGACCCTTAGAAATTAAGATGAGAGTTAAGTATTTCCCCTCAGAATTAGTGACCCCAGTCTGGCAGTATAGGCTCAACTCCTGGGCTTATTGCAGACTCAGTACTTTCTTCTTTACTTATTTTCTGATTAATTATTTTGTTATTTCTTTACTCAACAGTAATTACTCAGATCTTACACTCTTAATGCACCCAACCTTACTGGTGTTACATTACATGGCATAACAGGACCAGTTCCTTGGCCCTACTCACAATACATAGTACACGGCACTCCCTGTAGATTACTTTACTCAACATCCTCGTTAACAATTAAATCAGCAGATACAGAGGTCCACTACCCAACATGGGATAATTATTTCCAACTAATTATCCCTAACATACATCTTACAACACTCTCTGTTGACATATACTTCCAGGGTGCATCCCAGGGTAGAACACTGAGATTCAAGACCGTTGTTGTGGTCGGTAGTAGCCAGACACATGGCGAGTTTGGGGTCTGGCCCAACGAGGCAGTGGAGCACATTAATCAGGCCGCATCGGTGCCATCATCGCATATATGGTCCCTGCTGGGTATCTACTACATCCGGGGCAGTTGTTGAGCGATGCAAGAATCACAATGGGATCTGGAACAAACGTTGGGGCGACGTTGGGGCGGCGTCAGGGGACGCTCTCCCTGCCTCAGCCCTGGGTATATATATCCCTGAGTTGCCAGTGATCGCCACTCACGCAATGACAGAGATTACAAACAAACTAACTGTTACTCATTCAAAGATGACCCTCAGTTGACAAAGGTCTGGCGAATTACTTGAGTTGATTTACACAGACTAATTCAAGATTGAGCTTCCCAGGAGAAAATGGAATAAACAACGCATTGATAACTGTCTTGGGACACTGGGAGGGAAACACAAGTGTAGCGTCTATGGGAAAAAACACGTCTTCTTCTCAGGGGTTGCTAACCCACGCATGTTTTGCGGTCGTGGAGTTTAATAAGAATCATTAGTTAAATAGATCAGCAGTCAACGTGACCATGACACCATGTGGTGGACAAAACCAGGCTCAACACGATAGAACCAATTACAGAAGGAAAACTGCTACACTACATCAGACACACTAAAGAAAAAGCACCAGGATTTACAAAAATCACAAGAAATATGATCCTATACCTACCCAACAACTGCACACAAGGCATCCTTGAAATATTTAAACTCAGCTTTGGCAAGTGGATACTTCATTGATGCATTCAAAAACGCAAAACTCATATTCATACCGAAACCAGCCAAAGACCACACTCAAGTAATTAACTACAGACCGATTTCCCTACTCGAAGTTATAGGAAAACTATTTGAAAAGGCAAGAAACAGAGAATCAGAAAACACAGGAGCGAAAACGGACTACTAAACCCCAGACAACATGGATTCACTGAAAAAAAGGGAACACATACTGCACTAGCCATAATCACGGAAACGTTAGCCAACAAGAAAGCAGAAAAAAACCAAGTCAACATTGTATTAAGAGACGTTAAGAAAGCGTTCGATAAAGTATGGCACCTAGGATTAAAATTTAAACTGATCCAAATAAATCTTCCAGACCCACTAGAAAAAATCGTCTGTGACTTCCTAGACGATCGCACGGCACAAATACAAATTGACAGCTATATAGGACCACCCATAGAACTGAAAAGTGGAGTACCCCAAGGCAGTGTTCTTTCACCCACGATGTACAATATCTACACAGCAGACCTACCAGAACCATCTCCCTACAGTGAATACATAAGTTTTGCAGACGATATCACACAAATCATCACATACCCCGGCAAATCAACACCAATAATGGCACAACATACTGCCAACGCAATAGAGAACATCAACCAGTACGAAAAAAAGTGGAAGATACAAGCCAACACCAACAAATTCAAAATAATACCAAATCGCTAAAAGGAAAAAAAGACCCCATT